AAATTGCTGATAAAAAGAAGGTTTAAGCTAACGTCGAGGGAAGTCAAACTCCAAAGTAATCCCTGAAAGGCCAACGAACGTGTAATTCATTACGTTTGCTTTCAGCATGCTGTCACTATGTACTCCACAGCACGGAATTCCGGTAACAGTACACATTGTTTCAGAACTTCTGTACTAGAGGCGACACAGTTTAACTTTTGTCACTCCCTAAGCACAATATCTGTTTAAGTGTACAAGCGATATAGGAAAGACTCTTTTGGAAGACCCACACACCCACGCCCCCGACTCGTCCGCATTCACTATGGACGTTTGCTGGGTCAAAATCAAACAAAAGACAAACAAAACAGGTTGTCACTGAGTCTGCAAGCTCAGGAATCAGCCACTCGGGGCTTTAACGCTACGCCCACTTTGTGGGATCTGAATCAGGCGTGGTGGATTCAGCCACCTGCGCCTGATCTCGCCTCTGAGCTTCTCTTGGCCGTGTCTTGAAACCCGGCAAAGGTGGGGGAGGGAGAGAAAGTGCGGTGGATGCAACGCAAATGTACTATCACCTAAAAAGAATCCACGCTCTTCAACCTGCGGTGGAGATGGTCGATATATGAAAATATAATAATAACATGTGTACTGACAGAAATCAGTAGTCACATTTATGCGCCTTAAACAAAACAGGTTCCGATCACTATGCTGTACGAGGCAACCCACCTATCTGAGGAAGAAGAAGATGACGAGGAGGAGGAGGAGCTCGAAGAAGATGAGGATGAAGAGGAGGTTTCAATCTCATCCAGATACTCTTCAAGAGTCTGCGGCTGTTCGGCCAGTTCTTCTTTTGTCTTGAACTCAAGGAACTTGCTCTTCGAACTGAAGAGGTAGGCTATGAGCGGGTAGAAGGGCGGTAGCACCAGGCCTAAGAGCAGCAGTGTGACTTTTAGCGAGACTAATTTTCCCTCCCTCAGGCCGCCATACCACAGATCGCTGAGAATGGCCTGTGCACACGGGTGACTGATGAAGGCCTTGGACTCGCACATGTAGGCCAAACTGAGGCAAGTGTTGCCGGAGAAGTTGCGCAGTTCATAAGTCAGTAGACGACGTG